GTCCTGGGGGCTGATTCTTCGGGTGCAAAGGAACAGAAGACAGGCAGCTGGAGGAGGAAGGATGCACTTAGGTCAGGGGGCAGGGTGAAAGGGGCCGGTGGCTCTCCTTGGGAAATTCACAAGGACCTACTCAGAGGGCAGAGACGGAGGGTTTGCAGAATGTAGTCCCAGAGTTTACTCGCTGAGATCAGCAGGTCCCTGTCCTTCCGAAGGCCTGCGTGGACCAGGGACCAGCCGTCAGGGCTGCTCGGTCTGGGCGCCTGCCGACGCGGGAGGAGGTCTCGGTGTCTGACCTAAATCTCTGGTGCTCGGGCCTGAGCTCTTTGCTTACAAACCCTCCCAGCTGCCTTGGGAAGGAAGGGGAGGAGGGGGAAATAGTGTCGCCCTTTGAACAAGCATTTTTATTTGGGGAGTTTATTCGACAGAAATAGATAAAGATGCTTAATGAAGGTCTGCAGTGGACAAAAAAAATCAGCAATGTCTGGCCCTGGGTGACTATTCCGTGAATATTACTGACGTAGAAAAAAAGTCCCTGGTTTATTTCTAACAGAAAACAATCAGGTGCACACAATGTTGTATTGTACCCCGCGAGTAAATACTCAGGACACAAGACCAGATCGAGTCATTTAATAAGCTGGCCACTGAGAGGGACTTATGGCTCCAAATCTCCCAGTCCCAAAATGGTGGCAACATCATGCTTATATAGGCAAATATTACAAAGTATCGATTACATCTTTGGGTTTGGAATGAGGAACCTGGTTTGCACAAAGCAGTTACAGAAGCGAAATTGAGCCAGTTAGTTAACTATAAAGATTAATTATAGTTTTGGGTCTCCGGATCACTGAATCAACGGAAACACATTACCTGGAGCCACTGAGGCAATTTAGAATAATTGTGCTGTCCTGGTCTTGGGACCACTGAGTCAACCGGAACGCATTATCTGTGGCCACTGAGGCAATTTAGCGTCATTGTGCTGTCCTGGTTCCCAGGTACAGAAGAATGTGCTTCGATGACCAGTAAGATCACAATCAATGGGATATTCAAACCACCAACAGCGAAGGATTCAATCGATTGGGCTAGCATACATAAGTTCAGAAAATGAAAGTAACTTTTCTGTTGTTAAACAAAGCAAATAAGTACAGAAACCAAACAGCAGGGTTAAAGTTAAACTGCAGTTTCTACCTGAGATGATTGCTACCAGACTTCAATAGTAGCGTTCCGGGCGCTGGCTGTGCGGTCTAGTCTTTAGAATGTGGGCACATCAGCACCTGAGGACATCCACCCCATGGGTAACAATGCTGAGCTAGGGCCGCACAGCGCACCTGCTCGCAGGGGCTCCCAGCCACAGCTGATGCCCCCCGGGGGGCCACAGGGAGGCAGCCACTAGGGTCCCCTGCCCGGCCCCGGTGCCCTGTCTACTGAGTCACCAAGCCACCCGGCTCTCACCCCGAGTCCCTGGGCATGGCCTGTCCATGAGGGTGGGCTTCTCACCCGGCCCCCAGAGGGAGCACCCCAGAGGCAAGCATTGAAAGAGCCCGCGATGGCCCTGGCTGCGGTGTCACTCCCCCAGAGTCTGTTGGTCAGAACCAGCTCCAACTCAGCAAAAGGAGGCTGCGCTGG